CGGTAGGGAGGGTCGCTCGCGCTCGGAAATGCGCTCGCACAATCTCGCCCATGTTCGGACTCACTCACACTCAGCCACTCATGCGGGAAAGACACGACCAGAAGTCCCAAGATCACCCCCCCGTAGCAGGCATAGCGCTCCAAGGGGGGCCGCCAGGGAGCGCTCAGTCGCCAGAGGCGAAGACTCTCTCACGGAAACACTCACAGACGGGAGTGCCAAGGACCGAGATGCACATCCGCATCAAGGAATTCGGCTCCTCCTCCTCCTCCTCCTCCTCCTCCTCCTCCTCCTCCTCCTCCTCCTCCTCCATGCCGGCTCCATGTCGGCTACATGTTTGGTCCAGACGGCCACGGTCCCCCTGTTGAGAAGTGCACTAAGATGCACATGGCCATGCTGCCAACCCCTGTCCTGGCTGCGTCTTTCCTACAAACCCCAAGGAATACCGAGGCGCGCACCTTAGGAAATATCCCCAGAAATCAGTAGAAATCCATGGACATCCCGTGGAAATCCCTAGAAATCCGCTGGAGACCCCTAGAATTCCCAAGAAATCCCCAGGAACTCTGCAACTCGCCTCTTCAACTGTGCTGCTATGAGGATGCTTGGCTGGGCTACCGTGTTTTTCGACTTAGGTCGGGCGTGTCCTCCTACAGGCGGAGTTTGGAAGAAAAATCAATAATAGTCAATTAACCTGGCGACGGACCAAACCATATGCAGTTGTGAATGCCGCAGTTGTGAGGATCGTCGTAGGTGGAACTCACGATGGCGCCAGGTTTGAGGAGCGTGCAGATTTGGGGAGGTGGGGGGGTGCATGTGAACCCGCCCAGAGACCTTCGGCGGGGCTCCCAAAAGGGCCACGAAACGTGTGAGGGGTGTGCCAAAGCGGGCGTGACGCCCACATGCGAACTGCGCCACTGGGACCCTCGGTGGAGCTCCTTATGAGGCCACGAAACGTGTGAGGGGTGTGCCGCAATGGGCGTGACACCCACATGCGAACTGCACCGCTGGGACCTTCGGTGGAGCTCCCTAGGGGGCCACGAAACGTGTGAGGGGTTAACGAAACGGGCGTGACGACCGCATGCGAACTGCACCACTGGGACCTTCGGTGGAGCTCCCTATGGGACACGAAACGTGTGATGGGTGTGCCGCGTGGCGCCCACATGCGAACTGCACAGCTGGGACCTTCGGTGGGGCTCCCTACGGGGCCACGAAACGTGTGAGGGGTTAACGAAACGGGCGTGACGACCGCATGCGAACTGCACCACTGGGACCTTCGGTGGAGCTCCCTATGGGACACGAAACGTGTGATGGGTGTGCCGCGTGGCGCCCACATGCGAACTGCACAGCTGGGACCTTCGGTGGGGCTCCCTACGGGGCCACGAAACGTGTGAGGGGTGTGCCGAAACGAGCGTGACGCCGCCCACATGCGAACTGCGCCACTGGGACATTCGGTGGACGGTGGAGCTCCCTATGAGGCCACGAAACGTGTTAGGGGTGTGCCGAAACGAGCGTGACGCCCACATGCGAACTGCGCCACTGGGACCTTCGGCGGGGCTCCCAAAAGGGCCACGAAACGTGTGAGGGGTGCGTCGAAACGGGCGCGACGCCCACATGCGAACTGCACCGCTGAGACCTTCGGTGGAGCTCCCTACGGGGCCACGAAACGTGTGAGGGGTGTATCGAAACAGAGACGATGGAGTGATGGGAGGAGGAGAGGAAGGGAGAGGAGGAGAGGAGGAGGACGCGGGGCGCTGCCTCTTCCAAAAAGGACCCGACTGCACAGGAGGGTTGGGAAAAAAGGCTCGGAAATAGTCAAAAATTGCAGAAAATCGTCCCCAAATTTTGACTACGTTTGAAAACTCCTCCTGTATAAAGACATGCCCGACTAAATTTGGACGCCCGAAATGGGTACGGAAAGGATGGGTACAATGCCCAACAAAAAATGTTGTCCCAAACCAACAGCGGCTGCTGTTGGGCAGGCGGCCTTCTGTCTCGAATGGACACAGGCCGCGGCGGCGTGGACAGCGAGTCCTGTTCAAAATGAACAGGAACTGCTGTTGGGCATTGCACCCATTCTTTCCGTACCCATTTCGGGCGTCCAGACTTCAGGCTAACGTGTTCTTCTACAAAAGCCGAGGGCGCCGCACCCTCCCGGGAGGCGGGCCGAGGCGGCCGCATCTTCTGCGGCGGCGTGCCCAGCGACACCTCGGTGACCAGCGCCTCGCGGCGGGGGGGGCGGCCCCCGCGGGCACCAGCGAGGAGGCACCCCCAACCCGCCTTCCCAATTCACCCTCCTCCTCGTCCTCCTCCTCCTCGTTTTCCTCCTCCTTCTCCTCCTCCTCCTCCTCCTCCTGCTGCTCCCCCATCCAACTCTATTTTAAACAACTCCACCCTGTCGCATCCACAGGCGCGCCCGTAGGGCGGACCGGGCGGTTCGCCTGGGAGGTCCTCACCATTTCAAATCCTGAGGCTTGAAATGTGCAGAAGCGTCACGGATGGAGGGCGGTCCGTTTTCATAATGTGGCTCTGGCCTTAGCGCCGCGCAGATTCGTCTTAAAACTGCGCAACTGGTTCACGAATGGAGGGCGGCCCGTTTTCAAAATGTGGGTTTCGCCGAATCGACGCGCACATTCGTCTTAAAAGTTTGTAACAGCTTCACAGATGGAAAGCGGTTCCTCTTCAAAGTATGGCGCTCGCCTTAGCGCCGCGCAGATTTCGTCTTGAAAGTGAGCGGTAGTTTCGAGGATTCGCACCGTTGTAATCTAGAAACTGTTTTCTGGAACGATTGAGAATCCCACCAGCCCTTTGGGCGTGAGTGGTTTAGCGAGCTCTCTCTCTCTCTGTTCTCAACCCCCCTTCTTCCCCTTCGGGGAGGGGTTTACCCCTCCCCCTACCCCCTCCCCCTGGGCCTGGAGAGGGCGCCCCGCGGGTCGTTGGAGGGGTCTTTTTTGACTCCTGGGAGGGCCAAAAAACGACGACCCTCACGAGGATTCTGGCCCCGACGGGGGGGCACAGTTTGGCCCCGCTGCTCTTCTTTAAAACCAAAATCATTGATTTTACTAGGGTTTTGGCCCCATTTTGGCGTTCTGAAGGGGTCCGCGCTCATCTTCCTCCATAGCAAAATCATTGCTTTTACGAAGGTGTTGGGCTCATTTTGTTCTTTTCAGGGGGCAGCTCTCACTGGCGCTTCTGAGGAGGTCGCAAGAGGCCCCAAGATGGCCTCCAGAGGCTCCCAGGAGGCTCCCAAGAGGCCTCCCAGAGGCCCCCCAGAGGCCCCCCCCCAGCGGTCCCCAGAGGCCCCCAAGAGGCCCCCAAGAGGCCCCCAAGAGGCCTCAAGAGGCCCCAAGAGGCCCCCAAGAGGCCCCCAAGAGGCCCCCAAGAGGCCCCCAAGAGGCCCCAAGAGGCTCCAAGAGTCCCCCAAGAGGCCCCACGAGGAGCCCGAACGACTCACACCAGGACGAGGGGCCCGAACGACTCACACCACGAAGAGCCCGAACGACTCACACCAGAAGGAGGGGCCCGAACGACTCACACCAGGACGAGGCGCCCGAACGACTCACACCACGAGGAGCCCGAACGACTCACACCACGACGAGGGCCCCGAACGACTCACACCACGAGGAGCCCGAACGAGTCACACCAGGAGGAGGGGCCCGAACGACTCACACCAGGACGAGGGGCCCGAACAACTCACACCACGAGAAGCCCGAACGACTCACACCAGGACGAAGAGCCCGAACGACTCACACCACGAAGAGCCCGAACGACTCACACCAGGAAGAAGGGCCCGAACGACTCACACCAGGACGAGAAACCCCAAACGACTCAAACCACGAGGAGCGCTTTCTCTCCCTCCTCCTCCGCCTCGTCCTTCTCCCGCTCCCACCACAAGGAGGATGTACAAGGAGGCGGGAGGAAGGAGGAACAGGGGAGATATGCGGGGGCAGGCGGAAACACGCCTGAAAAACACGACTGTCGGCATGCTTCGCAAGAGTTGCTGTTTTGAGATGGGCTGGTGGGGATACGCGAAGCGTGAAGAATTGTCAAGACGCAACAGTCACGTTGATTCGCGGCGTCGAAATCCGAGGGATTGCGTTCTGGCGCAATTCTGGATTGTCGGACGCCACTGGTTCGCGGCGATGAAGTTCCAGGAAAATTGTTCTGGGACGATTGACGATTCTCAGACGGTTGTCCTCGAATTGGGCACTTCCGGCAAGGAAAGTATATTCTTGCAGGGACCTGTGAAGAGAGAACTTGGAGGGAGGGTGCGTTGATGATGCGTCTTGGGCTACACTTGACCTCGTCATCCTTTCCCTCCTCATCTTCCTCCACCTCCTCCTCCTCCTCGTATTCCTCCCTCCTCCTCCCCCTCCTCCTCCCCCTCCTTCTCCCCTCCTGCTCCTCCGGGAAAGAGGAACGAAAAGAGCATACATACATACACATACATACACACACATACATACATACATACATACATACATACATACATGCATGCATGCATGCATGCATGCATGCATGCATACATGCATGCATGCATGCATGCATGCATTCATACAGTCAAACATACATACATACATACATACATACATACATACATACAAACATACAAACATACAAACATACATACATACATACATACATACATGCATGCATGCATACATACATACATACATACATACATACATACATACATACGTACGTACATACATACCGACCTATATACCTACCTACCTACCTACATACCTACCGACCTACCTATCTACCTATCTACCTATCTACCTATCTACCTACCTACCTACCTACCTGCATGCATACATACACACATACACACACACATACATACATACATACATACATGCATACAGACAGACATACATACATACATGCATGCATGCATGCATGCATACATGCATACATGCATACATGCATACATGCATACATGACAATATATTGCATTACATTACATCGCATTACATCACAATGTATTTCAAGACATTGCATTATATTACATGACATCACATCACATCACATCACATCGCATACATTACATTACATTTCCTTACATTATATTACCTTACATTACATTACATTACATTGCATTACATTACATTACATTACATTACGTTCCATTACATTACATTATATTACATTACATCACATTACATTACATTACACTACACTACATTACATTACATTACATTACATTACATTACATACATGCATGCAGACAGAAAGACAGACATACAGACAGACAGACATACATACATGCAGAGAGAGGGAGGCGCACCAAGCTGGCCTCCCCCAAGATCGACCAGGGGAAGGGAAGCCAGAGCTGGAAGCCGAAGGCTTGTGGAACAGCCCGCGGGGCCCTCCTGGGGTGCCTTTGTCGCCGCGCCCCCGCTCGGCTCGCTCGGGTTCGCTCGCGCTGGGCCTCGGCCAGAGCCAGCAGAGGTCACTGGCGCTTGCGCGGGGCAGCTGGCCGCGCACTGGCGAGGGGAGGAAAGAGGAGGGGGGACGAGGCATGGGGGAGGAGGGGCGATGTGCGAAGGGCCCGGAACGAGGGAGGAGGCAGGCTCATGTAAAGCAAGGCACGGCGGTGGGCCCAGGGCAGATGTCTTCTCCCCGCAAGGCGGCGGCGGACCGCGGCAGCGACGGGCAGACAACCCAAATCGCTCGCAGACGGCACACCTGAATACGCAGCGAGGGCACAAGCACGAGGGCTAATTCCTCTCCAGCGCATCAGCACCAAAACGAGTGCGCCCGTCGGAACACACACACACACACACACACACACACACACACACACACACACACGCACGCACACACACACACACACACACACACACACACACACACACACACACACACACGCTCACACGCACACGCATCTATGACACGAGGATAGCGGGGCCCAGCGGGCCCTGACGGACCAGAGCGCCGGGCCCCAGCGACGCGCAGGCCGGCGCGCGGGGCACGAGCGCGAGACAGCGTGGCCACAGCGCGGCCGACCCGAAGCAGGCCCAGCGGGGCAGCGGCAGCGCCAGGCGAGGGGAGGCGGGGGAGGGGGCGGCGGGGGCGGAAGCCCGGGGGGGAGGCAGGGAGAGCGCACGGCGGGGCACGCAGGAAGGAGGGGGAGGAGGGAGAGGAGGGGAGAGGAGGAGGAGGAGGGGGGAGGAGGAGGGAGGGGGAGGAAGGAGGAGAGTAGGAGGGAGGGGAGGAGGAGGAGGAGGAGAGGGTTAGGAGAAGGAGGAGGAGGGGAAGGAGGAAGGAGGAGGAGGAGGATGAGGAGAGGAGGAGGAGGAGAGAGGAGGAGGAGGGAGGAGGAGGGGGGAGGGGGGGGGGGAGGAGGTGAGGATGGGGAGGCGGAGGGGAGGAGGGGGAGAGGGGGAGAGGGGGGGGGGAGGGGGAGGAGGCCCCGCCGAGGGCAGGTCGGTCTGCCCACAGGTCGAGGCAGAAGATGGGGTGGCGCTCGCAGCCGTCGTGACCAGACCAGCACTGGGCTCTCCCTCCTCCTCCTCCTCCTCCTCCTCCTCCTCCTCCTCCTCCTGGTCCTGCTCCTGCTCCTGCTTCTCCTGCGTATCTCCTCCTCCTCCTCCTCCTCCTCCTCCTCCTCCTCCTCCTGCTGCTCCTCCTCCTCCTCCTGCTCCTCCTCCTCCTCCTCCTCCTCCTCCTCCTCCTCCTCCGCGCCACGAGCTCACCCGGCCCGAACCGAGTGGAAACGTGGGAACAGTGATCGGCAAGCAGGACTCGCGAGAAGAAGGAGCCTGACGAAGATCACCACCGCCTGGACGCCGACGACGACACGAAGGAGGAGAGAGAAGGAGCAGGAGGGGTAGGAGCGATGGGGGGGGCACGACGAGCAGGATGGCATGGGCAGGCCTTCTGTTTGGTGACCCAAGTGGGCATGGCATCGCCGCCCGCAGCAGCCGCGTCCTTGCCCGCAACGAGGGGAGTGAGCAGCACCAGGACCTCAGTTGTTCCGATGAGCATGCCTGGCCGTACGGGCCTCGTGAGAAGAAGGTGCAATCGAAGATCGTCAGCTCGGCTCGCCACATCCTCCTCCTCTTCCTCGTGCTCCTCCTCCTCCTTCTCCTCCTGATCGCCGTCGTCCAGCTCCACCTCACTCCCTCCTCATACTTATGGTCGTGATCATCATCTGCAACTGCAACTGCATTATCACCGCCACCCTCACAGCAATATTCACACCCTCATCCTCGCGATCGCCATCGTCATCATACTCATCATCGTCGTAGTCACTCATGATCGTCATCATCATTGTCATCGTCATCGCCGCCACCAGCATCATCATCAGCAGCATCATCCTCATCATCAGCATCATCATCATCATCAGCAGCATCAACAAAGAAACAACAACAACAACAACAACAACAATCATTTTACCCGAACGCTCAGTGTTCTCACCAGTGCCAGGGTTTTCATGCGACGCGAGACAATACCCCCACTTCGTGGGGGGGCAGTTCAAGCTCTACCAAATATCCAAAC